GGGCGGGAGAGAGGGGACCGGGGGAGGGTGGGCCGCGAGTCTGGAGGTCAGTCGCAAGGACCACGGGAAGGGCCGGCGGGGTCGCGGGCGGCGGCGGGGGCTGGACGCGCTCTCCGGCCACCTGCGGCTGCGGCGGGCCCCGGCGGAGGGATCTGGGCAGAGGCGGCGCGTGATTGGACAGCCGGCCGCACGCACTGCCGGGCCGGGATGGCTCCGCGCGCCGCGACCAGGTGCGAGCGGGAGCGGGGCCGGGGCCGGTGCGGTGTGGGCGGCCCTTAGCCTCCCGGGTGCCGCTCGGAGAGCCGGGAGCCGACGCTTTGTCTTCCGGCGGGAAGTGCAGCCTCCTGGCCGCTCGGTTCATCCTGACTCGGCATGGCGGGGCGCAGCGGAGGCGCTCTGAGCAGGTGGAGGTGGTGCCTGGGTCGGCAGCTCTCGGGGCACCTTGCTGGCCCAGCAGCGAGAGGGAGGCGCCCTGGTGGCTTCCCTGAACCCGATGGAAGCGGTTCTGCAATTCCCTCACGCGGGACTGCGGGACTGCCGCCCACTGCCTACGGGCGGCGGCGTCTCCCGGGGGAGGAGGAGCAGCCCTGACGCTCACCACGGGGCTCGGGTCCTTCCTCTGACCCGGCTCTTACCCGGCTTTACCCAAACTATAATCCCCAGGTGCCCTGGGATGAGGTGGCTTACGGGGATAAGGTGAAAGGAAGCTCCAGATGGGCAAAGGGGTCATGGGGTGTCCCCGGTAAGTCAGATCCGCATGGAGGAAATATTTGCAACTTACATGCCAGGACTCTTCAAAACTGAAAAGGACCAAAACCCAAAGAGAAAAATGGGCAAGAGCCCTGACCGGTTTGGCTCAGTGGATAGAGCGTCGGACTGCGGACTGAAGGGTCCCAGGTTCGATTCTGGTCAAGGGCATGTACCTTGGTTGCGGGCACATCCCCAGTAGGGGGCGTGCAAGAGGCAGCTGATCGATGTTTCTCTCTCATCGATGTTTCTAACTCGACAGTGTTTTGTTGTTTGGGAATGAGCCCCAGGTAAAACTGGAAGGACGTCCTAGGAACAACGAAAATGGTTACCTGCGGGGGGGGCGGGGGGGGGGTGTGTGGAGAGGAACAGAAACAAGACTTATCCGTCTCTGAACTAAAGTGTTTACATAGCCAAAGAGTAACTGACAAAAGCAAGTCAACCCGAAGTGGAAAGCAAATTGAAATCAGTGGACTTAACTCTGGGCCAAATTGGTAACTATGTCATTAAACAGAAAAGAATTATTCCCCAGGTATTTTTATTTTTTTTTTTATCCTCACCCAAGGATATGTTCTTACTGACTTGAAAGAGAGAGAGAGAGAGAGAGAGAGAGAAACATCAATCTATTGCCTCCCATATGCACCCCGACCAGGGATTGAACTTGCAACCTAGGTATGTGCCCTGACCAAATCAAATTTGCACCCTTTTTGGTGTCTGGGTGGATGCTCCAACCAACTGAGCTACCCAGCCAGGGCTTCCGCAGATATTTTTAACATAGTACTCAGAGAGTATATAACCTAAGGATGAAAAAAGAACTGCAAAGGAATCTTCAGCCTCACTCCGTGGTTTATAATAATGGTAATAAGGCCTGGCTGGTGTGGCTCAATGGTTGAGCGTTGACCCAGGCACCAAGACGTCACCGGTTCAATTCCCAGTCAGGGCACGTGCCTGGGTTGCAGGCTTGATCCCCAGTATGGGGCATGCAAGAGGCAGCCAGTTGATGTTTCCATCTCTCCTCTCAAATAAATAAAAACATTTAAACAACAACAACAAAATGGTAATATTGTTGCTATGGTTTTGAAACTATATTGTAGGGTATACAAATGTTTTAATGTTATAACATATAAGACTTTCAGTGTAAGAGAAAATGAGATACAAATGTAAGATCAAGGAAGTTCAGGAAAACTGTAATGTGTTTAAATTGGAAATAGCATTTTGAGCACATAATTTTTAAAATAAATTTCCTAGTTCTGTGCACTGAAAGGACCTCGGAGCAGTAGGTTGACCAGTTGTTCCAGTTTGCCAGGGACTGGGGATTTCCCTGGATGTTGGACTTTCAGTGTTAATACTAGACCTCTCCCAGGCAAACCATGTTGGTTGGTCACCTACAGTAATAATGAACACCCTTGCCAATCAGATCGCGGTTTCTAAATTCCATTTCCCACTAAATAAATCCAGAGCATCTTGGGTTTACTTATACTTCAAATTAAACTTTAAATTATACTTCAGTAAAGTGTGGAAACAAAGACCAACCAAACAAGGACAAGCAGAGGCTACTTACCCAGAACCTGCTGCTGCAAGAGGGTCAGCCGCCATCACGTGTGTTTGGCAGAGACTCCAAGGCCGGCAGGAGAGGGAGCGCTTAGAGGAGGAGAGGCCCGGCCCAGGTGTGCCCTGAGGGGCTGTGGGCAGGGGCGCTGGAGGCAGCTGGTCAGCGGTGGGCCTCTCTGTGGTCAGTTAGGGCGTCTTTTTGGCTTTCTTCCGTTGGTTCTCAGTTGCAAGGGGGGACAAAAATTCGGGAAGCTGTCAGTTTGTAATCACGTCCTGGTCATTTGAGCTGATTATTGTAGAGCAGCGGTTCTCAACCTGTGGGTCTCGACCCCTTTGGGGGTCGAACGACCCTTTCACAGGGGTCGCCTAAGACCATCGGAAAACACATTTATAATTACATATTGTTTTTGTGGTTAATCACTATGCTTTAATTATGTTCAATTTGTAACAATGAAATTGGGGGTCACCACAACATGAGGAACTATATTAAAGGGTCTCGGCATTAGGAAGGTTGAGAACCACTGTTTTAGAGGGTTTGTTTAGCTTTCTGGATTCTTATAGAGATAGACTGACTTCCTCCAAGTCTGATGTATAGCAAGCTGGTTTCCTGGGCTAGTTACTGGAGGTAAGGGGGCTGGTTTCCTAGGCACTTTGCTGCAGGTTGTGAGTCAGAATTCTATTTTTATATATGGTCTGGCCATGCCCATTTGTATATTTGGTTTTTAAAAGTAAATTTTAAAAAGACAAGCCAGTTTGAAAGATCTCCCAGAGGCCAAATTTAGGGCAATTGTAGCAAAAGACTAAATGGAATAGATAAAAAATCTTTATAGTTATACCTGATGAGAAGAGCGGGGGGAGGAGACTATTTTTCTATAATTGAAAATGACTACTACACCAACTTTTCGCTCTGAACATTAATTGTTAAAGGGAAATACAGTATTTGCCCTGCCTTTACAATAGGGTGCTAGCAAATAAATGTAGACTAAATGATGTAGTTAGAACATGACTGTTACACAAAATTTAAAGAAATAATTAATTTAAGCAAGAATTATCCATGGACTTAAAAACCTTTAGATGACAGGTTGCTGAGAAATGGCAGTATTCATGTGGCGCCAAAACACCACTACACAGGGAATTGATCTAATTGCAGAGAGCACGCTTGTGTAGTGGAGCCATCTGGTGGTCAAATTTAGAATCTGCAACAGACAACCTCCAATTTGCAGAAAGTACAGGAGAAAGAGTAGTAGTGCAAATCTGAAAATACTAGTAAAATTAACTATTACCCCCCAGAAAAAACTTTATGAAACGATCAACAATAAATACTGAGCACCTGCGTTAGGCCCAGCATAGTCCTCAATATCCATGCCACTTCAAGCTGCAGTTTCAAATGAGATACCAAAGTACAGTGGGGCCTTGACTTACGAGTGTCCCGACTAATGAGTTTTTCGAGATACAAGCTGTCTCTCGGCCGATTTTTTGCTTTGAGTTGCGAGCTAAAATTCGGGTTACGAGCCAGCTTCAGATACCCCACCGCTAGTTGCCCAGCGAACGTCACAGTGAACAGCCCAGCATCACGTGTCTCACTCGTTCACTTTGATTTGACATACAAGTAATTTGAGTTACGAGCTCCGTCACGGAACGAATTAAACTCGTAAGTCAAGGCCCCACTGTATAATGAAATTTTTTAGATATGACTGTTCTAAATAGCACTATTTAGATTGATGTTAAGTAAATTGGCCACTTCTTTCCCACCTGCCTCCTATTTAGCCTATAACCTTATTCCTACTACTTTGATTTCGGAACTACCTAATAAAATGTTCATAGGGAGACCAGAGGGAAGAAAGAGAACGGCATCTACAATAAGCCTGGCCTGGGTCGTTGATGTCCAAAAAGTCCAGGCACCCGTGACATGGGCAGAACGGTGGTTGAAGAAGTTGACAGTGATTCATGGACGCTCTCCTGAGCCTCAGAGCTGGTGTGACCATGACCCTGAGCATGAACGGATCATGCTCTCCCATGAGCCAGTACTTTGCTCGGTTCATCCTTTCTGTCTGCAGTGTTCTTCCCATGCTGCCTCGCCAGGTCATCTCCCGTTCCCCTCATCAGCAACTAGCTTTAAAGACGTTACTTATTCAGCTCATTGTGTCAAACATAGAGATTTGTGGTTTTATAAATGTGGAGCTAAACCAAGCTTTCTAGACTAATTTTCTAAGCTAGTGTGTGTGTGTTTTGTTGTTGTTGTAAATACTTACCAGAGGATATTTTTCCCATCGATTTTTTAGAGAGAATGGAAGGGAGGGGGAGAGACGGAGAGAAAGAAACATCAATGTGAGAGGGACACATGGATTGGTTGCTTCCCATACACGCCCCGACCAGGGCTGGGGATGGAGCCTGCAACCAAGGTACATGCCCTTGACCAGAACCTGAGACCCTTCAGTCCCCGCAAAGAGCTCCACTGGCACTCTTAAAAAATGTATTTTTAAAATAATATACTTATATTTCTATCACAATTTTTACTACTTAAAAAAAATGTCTATTGATTTTAGAGAGAGGAAAGGAGATGGGAGGGAGAGATAGAAACATCAATTTTGAGAGAGAATCATTGATTGGCTGCCTCCTGCACACCCACTACTGGGGGTCAAGCCTGCAACCTGGGCATTTGCCCTGACTGGGAATTGAACTGGTGCCCTCCTGGTTCATGGGTCGACACTCAACCACTGAGCCACCCCGGCCAGGCTACTACTATTTTTAAAATTATATTTCATTGTACCTATATCCTTGAACATGATGCTGAACAATTTTCCAGGCTTTGTTTCCTTGTATTGTTTTGAGTTAGTGTATTTGTCGTATACCCAAGAAACATTTACTGAATACCTGCCACATTGTACTAAGTACAGGATCTACAAAGATCCGCCCCCCCCAAAAAATAACAACAATGTGGCTATACAGTTGGGTTCTAATCATTCTGAACCCGTGGTGGGGGCAGGGAGCAGAGATAATAGAGGGATGGAGAACTCAGAGTCACTTCTTGGAAACAAGCGTGTGCAAGTACTGGGAAATCCCGCCATCAGAAAAAATAAAGTCAGCCCTGGGAGACAGTCTTGACTTCTGTAGTTTTTTCCTTGTCACCCATTCCATGCAAATAACACCACTTTCTGAAAAGGATTCCACGTGCCAGCATGACTAAGCATCGCCATTCTCCTTCCAGCTTCCACCAGGGTCCATGGCACAGGCTATTCTAGCCACACTGTTCTTGCTGATGGTGATGGTCCCTTGATTGTGTTTGAGTCATATTATCTTCAGCCCAGGGGATGAATTATGGCTGGTCTAAGCCAATGTTTCCTAATAGGAATGGTATTGGTATTTGGGATAGGATGAATCTTTTTTTTTTTTTGGCCATGAGAGGCTTGGCAATTTTTTATTGAGTTCACCTCATTCTAAGGTGTGTTTTCAGGATGCTATTGCCATACTTACTGCATAAAAAGGTATGTTTAAAAAACATTCAGTGTTTTCAAAACATGGCTGTCGCCCTAACCAGTTTGGCTCAGTGGATATAGAGCGTTGGCCTGTGGACTGAAGGGTCCCAGGTTCGATTCCGGTCAAGGGCATGTACCTTGGTTGCGGGCACATCCCCAGTAGGGGGTGTGCAGGAGGCAGCTGATCGATGTTTCTAACTATCCCTCTCCCTTCCTCTCTGTAAAAAATCAATAAAATATATTAAACAAACAAACAAACAAAACCCCATGGCTGTCAAATACAATATACATATGAAATAATCCACGTATTTCCCGTTGAACAGCTGAAGCCTTTCATTCGCCAAATCCCCCCGCCAATGCCTGGGACGCGGCTCAGACGGTGTACCGCCTCTCCCCCACGTGTTCCTTAGATGGGGTACCACCTAGGACAGCGGTTCTCATCCTGTGGGTCGCGACCCCTTTGGCGGTCAAATGACCCTTTCACAGGGGTTGCCTAAGACCATCCTGCATATCAGATATTTACATTATGATTCATAACAGTAGCAACATTACAGTTATGAAGTAGCAACGAAAATCATTTTATGGTTGGGTCACAACATGAGGAACTGTATTTAAAGGGCCAGAAGGTTGAGAACCACTGGCCCTAGGATGAATCTTTTTCTGTGTGCAGATGTGTTCTGTGTATTTTAGGACTCTGGGCCAACCCACTAAATAGCAACAGCACCTCTATTTGTGCGACAACTGAAACTGCTCCTGTATTTCCAACACCTCTCGAAGGACAGGATACCTGGTGAGAACCCCGGTCAGTTGTGGGTACCTTGGTCTTCTTTACCAAATAGTGACGTCCAGTCTTCTTCCAGACAGACTTGGCCAGTTGACCAGTTCTGGCCGGCCCAGAGGAAATCCGGGTTTCTGAGGAAGATTGTCTTCTCCAGTAAGAGATGTGCAGGAGGCAAAGTGCTTTGTCTGCCCCCCCTTTCTCCTTGTCTCTTAGCAGGTGGGAGAGGCTGTGATACTTGCATCAGTAGAAACCGTCATGACCATGAGCACCCAGTGGGAGAACAGAAGCCAGCCTGCTGAGAAGGCAGAGTGGAGGGTGGACATCCCTAGGTCCCGGATGACATGGTTGAGCTTCCAAAGTAACCCAGGGGCTGCCAGTTGTTGGGCTTTGTACTGTCCACTCTCTGGACAACACCCCCATCCATCCACGCCGGCACAGGTTCTGGTCGAAGCACCAGTGATCTGGGATGTGGTGAATTGGGGTGACACCAGAGCAGAATTGTCTCACAACCGGGGTACCCTGAATCCAAGTCATTCACAGGCAGTGCTTTATGGAACTCTGGGAAAGAGCACCACCTAGCGAGGGAACAGAGCAAAAAATCTAAATGCTGTGCTTCCAAGCCCTGGGTCAAAGCCAAGTCAAGGAGGGCTCTTAGAAGACTGGGAGGGAGGGGGGCTGTACAGTCAGGAGAAGGGACTGCTATGGGCAGAGAAGGGGAGCCAGCCCCTAGAACAGGGGTGGGCAAACTTTTTGACTCGAGGGCCACAATGGGTTCTTAAACTGGACCGGAGGGCCGGAACAAAAGCATGGATGGAGTGTTTGTGTGAACTAATATAAATTCAAAGTAAACATCATTACATAAAAGGGTACGGTCTTTTTTTTTTTTTTTAGTTTTATTCATTTCAAACGGGCCGGATCCGGCCCGCGGGCCGTAGTTTGCCCACGGCTGCCCTAGAAGAAGGGACGAGTGAGGGCCAGGAAGTGTTCCAGGGCCTCAGACATTGAAAACAAGGAATGATCAAGGTATACAGGATAAATGCCGGCAGATGAACGTGCTTGTTCAGGATTCTTACTAGAAGGCATTAAAAAGTTAATGAGTATTAAGTTTTTAAAGGATAAACCATGTTCTGGCTTTGACCTTGGTATTTTCCAAATTTCACTACGTGTGTGACTTTAGCCTTGGCCTTTGGAAAAGGTGGAGTGACATCATGAGGTTCAGCGATGACCTCAGTAATAATCTAACAGCTGACGTGCTGGGAAATTATTGTAATATGTTTAAAAGTAATTTAAATTTGAACTACTACTTCTACATAGTTTAATAAAAGAATAATTTTATTTTGAATACAGCTTCAGATTTATTCTTGAATTTCTGAAGTTCCTTCTGTGATGGTGCTATTTGTCCTTGACCAAATATTGGTCATAACAATTGGTCATTAGGCATTCAGCTAAATGTGTGCACTTACTGCATTTCTAAATGCTTTAGAAAGTGGATGAAGGAGAACAGAATATGCCACCCCAAAATGTGCCACTTTGGCATGGAGATTGTTTAGAGCTGAAGTCAATCAAGACCCAGCAGACTCAAGAAAAATGTTTACCTTTCCCTGTTTACCTAAAAGAATTTACGTAGGGGGCCAGGCCCAGAATGAGTACTTTTAATACTTTTAAGTTATCTCTGATAAGTTATTATCAGAGATAACATCTTTTTTTAGAAATACAAACTCAATTCATTCAAATTCAATCTCGTCCAGACACTGGTCACAAACCCCAGTGAGGTGCCTGTGAGCACCAAGTCAGGGAGAGGGGCAAAGAGTGAGGCCAAGAGAAAGAGTGGGAAAGGGGCCTTCATAGGCCCCCAATGATCACCCTCACAGTGTTACCTCCACCCCTTCCCAGTGACAGTGAAGACCTACCAGGCCCTGTCCTTTTGACCCCCACCCCGCCCTGGCCAGGGCTTCGAAGGCCAGTCCCAAATGGTTCTGTCCTCTCTTGCTCCATCCTCACTTGTCCAGGCTTCCAGCCTCGCTCTTCTCCTCCTCCTCCACATTCTTCTCTGTGATTAGTAGCAGGTCAGGGTACTGTATAAGCCAGTGATGGCGAACCTATGACACGCGTGTCAGAGGTGACACCCGAACTCATTTTTTTGGTTGATTTTTCTTTGTTAAATGGCATTTAAATATATAAAATAAACATCAAAAATGTAAGTCTCTGTTTTACTATGGTTGCAAATATCAAAACATTTCTATATGTGACACAGCACCAGAGTTAAGTTAGGGTTTTTCAAAATGCTGACACGCCCAGCTCAAAAGGTTCGCCATCACTGGCATAAGCCATAGTGAGGCTGGGGCCAGGGGAGGCGGGGTGAAGAGAGGAGAAGAGCTGTCCAAGGACCACTGTCTTCATGGGATCCCAAACTGTACAACCAGCTCCTCTCTCGCATCCACACGAATCTGAGGAAGCGCACTGTGGGCAGAAGCAGCTATTCTGGAGACCTGCTGCGGGTCGGAGAAGGGGACGGGTTCGCTGGCCAGCACTTGGTGGGGCTGACTGGTGAGAGATGGCAGTGGCGGCAGCTGCTTCCGATGGGTCAGGCTGCTGCTCAGCACCGCCAAGCGGGTGCTGTACTGCCTTGCCCGGTCCACGTACTCATGCCGCTCCATGCCCTGGGAGTCTGCAGCAGACGCGTCAATGACGTTGCTGGCTGTCTTGGCAAGAATGGAGGAGAGCAGGGCCTGCTCATCTGTGCGAGCGGAAGGCAGGCTGTGGGGATTGGGCTCGGCTCCACTGAGGGCTTTGGTGGGGAGCTGCTAGGGTCCAGCAGCAGCTTCCGCTCCTCTGGGTCCTGGTCTGAGTCCTCGTTCTCACTGCTGTAGCAGTACCCCATGGCCGGGGTCGGGCCGGGTGCTCAGGCCACAAGGAGCCAGAGATAACTTTTTATCTATAGAACTGATCTATGTGGCAGGACAAACATCTAATTACCAAACAGCTCTTCTTACTGTCCTATAAATTGCCCTCCTCTCCTTTGAAGACCCAGTCTCCTACTACCATTCCTGAGCTCAGGATGGCACATGAGCCTCAACTGCTTGCCTTGCCCTTGAGTCTCATATCTTTGGGGCTCCTGTACATACGAAATTAAATTTGTTTTTCTTTTCTCCAGTTAATCTATGTCAACTTAATTATTAGACCAGTCAAAAGAACCTAGAAGGGTAGAGAAAAAAATTTCCCTCCCTACCTAATAGAATGATGTCATCATACTTCTTGGTATCCTGTGAATATTAATTTATATCTTAACATTTACCAGTTCTAGAATCCTTAATGTATATTAGTGACTGGACTTGTTAAGTGCTCACCAAGCTCATTTCCTCTTCTTCCTGGTCATAGAGATGAGCGACTGGTCCCTCTTCTCTGCAGTCAGATGTGGCCGTGTGATTGAGTTCCAGATGATGGTATGTGGCCAGAGGGGTATATGGCATTTCAAGGCTGGGCCTAAAACCACCTTTCTCATTCTCTTTCCCATTCTCCAGCTGATGGAGAGAAAGGCAGGGAACATGCATACGGGACTGTGATAGGGATATAAATCCCGAAGAGGTAGGAGTTTATCATCTGCCAGAGCAGGTAATGCTTGATACCCTTAACACACTTCTAAAGTAATTTCCAGAGATGTTTGGAAACAACCAAGGAAGCCATAAACTGGGAGAATCTAAGTTGTAAATATGTGTACTACTTTCTAAATTTAAAGGTCACATTGGTTTGGGGGTGGGTGCTCCTAGGCAAGATGGTGGTGTAAGCTCTAAAATCCCCACCTACATGACTCACGGGGGGAAAACCCCACATTACTGCTAGAACACTGGAGTTACATTCAAGTGCCAGAAATAAGGGAGAATTTCTGGTAGGCAATTTGTTGATGTTGTGTTACTAGCACATTGAGTAACAGTGACATTGAGCAACAGTGACTCATGGGATGTGATCATAACGTGACTTCCCTTTTGTCACCTGTTAGGGTTTGGCCAGTGACATAGGCTGTGAAAGAATTGACAAGTAAAAGAAGAGATGCAGAGAGGAAGTTTATTTTTCCTTTCCAAGAGAGGAAAGGGCCGGTGCATTGCTAATCAATACAGGGCAAGAAACAAAAGGCGCTTCTCCTTTTAAAGGGTAATGGCTGCTGGTGCTAGGTGACCAGGCAGGGAGGGGGATTTGGGGCTGACGTTGAGCAGACATCAGGGGCTGTCTTGAAAATACAGTTTGTTTGCTTTTCAGCAGACAGTCCGGCAGATGTCCTAGGGAGGTGTCTTATCAGTATTTTTCCGAAGCCTGTAAAACATGCTTAGGGTAAAAGTTACGAAGAGTTCAAAAGAGCCTTGTTTGGAGGGTAGGGGGAAGGGAACTTTCTACTAACTAGAGACTCCTTGGTGCAAATTATCCCTGAGTTCCTAAAACAGCAGGGAGGAGGGGGAATGCAAGAATGTAGGCTTGAGAGTAGCCTATCTTGTCTTGTAGTTTGAACAGAGGGGCTGTTTGAATCAGAGGAGCTAACACTCTTGGGGTTTAATTGCCAGGTGCTCCTCATAAATTGTGGAAAGCCACAGCAAAGAAAAAGAGGCCTTTTTCCTGTCCTTACGTCACCCACCACGTCTTCATATTGGCCTGGTGGATTTGTTTTTTCTTTGTTCCTGGACCAAAATGCTGGTCTCTTGATTTTTTTAAAAAAAATGTATCTTTATTGTTGAAAGTATTACAAATGTACCCACTTTGTCCCCAATGGCCCCCTCCACCATGTCCGCCTGCCGCCGCCCCCCACTCTAGGCCTTCACCACACTGATTTTTTTTTTTTAATTCTTAGGTAACAAAAGGTCATATAATCACTTTAAGTCAGAACACAGGCTCAATCTTAAATGCCCAGTCCTAGGCAATAAAACTCTGACTCTTCAAGTTGAGGCTTCTCCTTCTTCAGCTCAGGCCTATAGCAGGCTAGCACCCGCGGTGGGAGAAAGAGCGGGGGAGCTGGGGAGCTGGTGGGAGGAAGTAGTGGGGAGCTGGTTGGCGGCTTCTACTTTCCAGTCTTGTTCTGCTCCTCCCCTGTTAGCAGACTAATCCTGGTTTCTGACTCCTCCAGGCAGGGAGCTGTAGGAGGGAGGAGGTGTGGGGTTACTGTTCATGCGGCAGCCTGTGTGGGGCACGTTGTGGGGCATCTTATTTGACCACTGTTGTCTTGCCTGGCCCTTGTTCGAAGCAGACTCTTTCTCTTCTGGTTTTGGAGACCACTCCATCACTGAGAATTTCTCACCTAGACTTCAGTCCAAAAACTAAGACTACTAGTATGTTGTGCTCCAGGGAACCTCAAGAAAAGAAAACCAAACCTCTTCTTTGGATGTCAAAAGGAAAACCTAAAAGAAAAGTCGGCCAATGGAAAGTCATCTTTTTAAAAAATATATATATTTTATTGACTTTTTACAGAGAGGAAGGGAGAAGGATAGAGAGTTAGAAACATCGATGAGAGAGAAACATCGATCAGCTCCCTCCTGCACACTCCCTACTGGGGATGTGCCCGCAACCAAGGTACATGCCCTTGACGGGAATTGAACCTGGGACCCTTCAGTCCGCAGGCCGACGCTCTATCCACTGAGCCAAACCAGTCAGGGCAGAAAGTCATCTTTTAACAAAAATAGACATTGTGTCAAAGATCTGACATTTATTCTCACTGTCTTACAATTTTATTTGTCAATGATGCCTCAGTAGAGCTGGGGGTGAGGGAGAAGATGGAGTAGCCACAGTCTGCAAATGAGCACCATTGCCCAGGTGGAAAGATGTGTCAGACTGATCGGGATCTCAGAATTCATAGAGCCCAGAGCTTTGCATGCAGCACAGACCAGACACTTAAACACAGCTTCCAGAGTGTGCTCTGGAGATATTTGTTCTTAGCACTAAAAGATGAAGGCTTTTTATCCCATGTGATCAAAGTTGAAGTCAGAATAAAATGTCACATGCTTACCTTAAACAATGCGTTTTAACTGAAAACATACAAATGCATATTCTTTTAATAGTTTTCAGATGAAGAGGCAGGAGATCATTGGACCTACAATCACCACATGACTAATGCATTGTCTGTGATTTTCATTTTCAAGTTTCTGAAGTGGAGTGGGAACTTAATGCCACCTGTAACGAATCTGATCCTTCAGCTGTTGAATGATTTTCCCAGTCTTATATATTTCTTTTCCCACATCTATTTGAACAGCCATTATTTTTAGTGGCTCACCTTTTTTGAACATTCCACTTAGTTTTCATTAAAATAATTTTTTCCTTTTCAAACTCTTTTTTAAAAATCAGTTTACATAGTACTTTCCTTTCCAGTAGTTAATGTGTTCTTTGAGGATGCAATCCTATATAATAAAAGGCTAATATGCAAATTGACCTAACAGCAGAACAACTGGTCGCTATGATGTGCACTGACCACTAGGGGGCAGACACTCAACGCAGGAGCTGCCCCCTGGTGGTCAGTGCACTCCCATAGGAGGAGCGCCGTTCAGCCAGAAGCTGGGCTAATGGCTGGCGAGCGCAGTGGCAGTGGCAGGAGTCTCTCCTGCCTCTGCGGCAGCGCTAAGGATGTCTGACTGCCAGCTTAGGCCTGCTCCCAGATCAGTCAGACGTCCCACGAGGGCTCCCGGACTGTGGGAGGGCACAGGCTGAGCTGAGAGACCCCCCCACCCCGAGTGCACAAATTTTGTACACTGGGCCTCTAGTCTGATTATAATGAGCCTGACGATGCAAGGTGGGGAGGGACAGGAAGCTCACTTTGAACCCTTTGTTAATGATACTACTTCTCTCTTTTATTAAAAAAAAGTTATTATTTTAATCTGTGAGGAAGGGAGAGGGAAAGAGAGAGAGAATCATCAATGATGAGAGAATCATTGATCGGCTGCTTCCTGCACGTCCCCCACTGGGGATCGAGCCCCCAACCTGGGTATGGGATCGAGCCCCCAACCTGGGTATGTGTCCTTGACCAGGATCAAACCCAGGACCTTTCAATCTGCAGGCCAATGCTCTGTCCTCTATCATCACTTTCTTTTATAGCCTGGATCACTGATTTTTTAAAAAATATATTTTTATTGATTTCAAAGAGGAAGGGAGAGGGAGAGAGAGAAACATCAATGATGAGAGAGAATCATTGATCAGCTGCCTCCTGCACACCCTACCCTGGGGATGGAGCCTGCAACCGGGGCATGTGCCCTGACGGAATTCAACCGTAACCTCCTGGTTCATAGGTCGATGCTCAACCACTGAGCCACACCAGCCGGGCTGGATCACTGATTTTATTTTAGCAATTTAAGTACTACTGTCGGTCCTATTAACAACCCCAGCTATACAAAGGGAAAGTTGGTATTTTCACTTAGATTTCTACCTGGGTAAGATTTGTGATACAAAGGTTGAAAAGGAGGAGAGAGAGAGAGAGAGAGAGAGAGAGAGAGAGAGAGAGAGAGAGGTGCTAAGATGCTAAGATCATTCCATGAATGGTCAGAGTTCATATCCGAGTATGTAGAAATATTGCCTTGTAGGAGGATATGTGGCAGAGACTGTATTTTCCAATCCATTACTTCATTTCCCTTAAGTTACAGAATTCCACTTTTTTTCAGACTGGAAATGGGCATAGCTAAGTGACTATGTTTTCCAGCATCCTCTGTAGCTAGGTGTAGCCTGGTACCTAAATTCTGAGTGGAATTTGTTGGGTGAATCTACCACAAACGATCCCTAAAAGGGAGACAGCTGGGGCCCCACCTCTGCCCTTCCCTGTTCATGGAAAGGAGGCGAGATGGCTGGCACTGTAGGAGCTATCATGGATCATGGGGCAACTCTGAGGCCAGAGGAGCCCGAGTCCCCAATGACGCTGTCATCCCAGCCCTGGACTGCCGACTCCGGGTCTCTTTTACACGAGGGAACACACTCTTCTGTGTTTGATATTCTGTGGCTGGATCTCTGTTATTAGCATATGAATGCAATTAATAACTGGCTCAACACGATTTTACCTGAACCCGCATTTTGCCTCCTCCTACCAATGTGTTGGTCTAGTTTGTGGTGGGTCTGAGGATGGCTGTGAAGTAGCCTTCAGAAGTTTATTCAAGGGAAACCCACAGTCAAGGGGCCCTGATGTGGCAGGTGACATCCTGAGCTGGCTAGAGGAATTTGGGACAGACCCCAGTCAACTGTAGTCTATCTAGATCCCTGGGCTAATTGAATGAGAGCAGCTTACAGTGGCCGCATAAAAAGGAAAGGTACTTCAGCTGTGGTAGACAGAGGATGTAAGAAACTTTCTTCTCATTACCTCCCATGCCCCTCAGGCCCTTGGTCTCAACCTCAGATATTCCCATAGTTGGGGTGTCTTCTGGAAGGATGATGTCAGATATTATGTTGGGGACACTCCTGCTTGATGGCTTTGTCACTTCCCCACTCCCCAATATTTGTTGCTTGTTCTAAAGGGCAGTCCTTTGTAATAACTACGTTTGGTGCCAGGTGGGTACTAGACCTATTGGGGGATCACTTCTTAAATTATACAATTCTGGTCTCATCATATCTCATCTGATACCTGAGTAAATAAGATTATCCAGTTTGTATATTCCTCCTCTCTTGCAAATGAAATGACTGAATAAAAATGCGAAAGGGATAGGGGAATATAGTCAATGATATTGGGATAGTTTATATGGTGACAGATGATTACTAGAATTAGTGGGGTGGTCACATTGTAAGGTATAAAAATGTCACATCATTATATTGTACACCTGAAACTAATATGACCAATATAAGCTTGTATACCAACTGCCTGGCTCGTGTACTTAGTGGTTGGGCGTCAACCCATGAACCAAGAGGTTACTGGTTCAATTCCCTGTCAGGGCACATGCCCGGGTTTCAGGCTTCAGGCTCGTAGTGGGTGCAGGAGGCAGCTGATCTATGTTTCTCTCTCATCATTGATGTTTCTCTCTCTCTCTCTCTCTCTCTCTCTCTCTCTCTCTCTCTCTCCCTCCCTCCCTCTCTCTTCCTCTTTCTAAAAATCAATAAAAACATATTAAACACACACACACACATACACACACAAAATTGTGTACAAACGATACTTAAATAAAAAAATTTTAAAAGGCATGTCCTGGGGGTCAATTTAGTCTCAAAGTATCATCATCTGAGCAAACAAGAAGCACCTGGATGCAGTCTGCCTGGCTGTCTCAGTGATATTCTGTTCTCACGAGATCAAGGCCTATTATTAGTGACTGAGCTGCCCCTGAATCCTGTTGTTGCCTCCCTCAAAATCACTTTTTCTTCCAGTTCTCATAGCTGATACCTAACCTGGCTCTTGGTGCTGCACACAAGGATTCATGCAACAGCTTCTTAACTAGCCTGCCCCTTGTGATGTCAATGCCAGACCACCTTGCCTAAAAACTGCTCTCCTCACCCCCCATTGATTTTTAGAGAGAATGGAAGCGAGGGAGGGAGAAACATCAATGTGAGAGAGACACACTGATGGTTTGCCTCCTGCACTTGCCCAGATTGGGTTGGGGATCCAACCTCTTACCCAAGTATGTGCCCTTGACTGGGAACAGAATCTAACCACTGAGCAACACTGTCCAGGGCCTGAAAAAGTACTTTTGTTGTGTTTCACTTCAGCTAAAATGCTTCTCAATTTCCTGTAACCAACCTTGTGTTTGTTTTCAGGACATCCATCATCTGCTTCCAACCTGAGTTCCCTCCTCACCCAACCACACCCTTGGTTACATTCTCCTGACTGCCAGCAAGCCCGGCTTCTTGCTGGGAAGTCATTCCGGGTGCTTCCCCTTGCCATTCCCCTAATCCAAAGCCTAGTCATCCCTGGGGGCGGGGAGAGACGGGGGTGGGAGGGTGGGGGGTGGGGGAGAGGGGGCACAGGGTTGTGAAGGAGGTGAAAGAAAATAACTGAAATTCTTTTTTTCATGCTTTAAAGGATAATTTTATTTGAATCTACTAATTTCTTTTCACTCAAAATTGCGAAGATAAAGAAACATAAAATATGAGGCAAAGGGAAGATGGTCTAAGAATTTGTGTCTTCAGGTTTTTACTGGCATAACAACCCTTTCAAGCCTGGAGCTACTCCAAACTGAAGGATGAAAATGAGAAGAAAAACGTATTGCAAACAGGCCCGGTGGTACATGTGCTCCAGCAGGAGCTGGTTGTAGCAAATCCTTTCACTTCAAACCTGCATGGATATGTTAGACCTTATTTGGAAGTAATTCATTTCTGGTCAATTCAACCCAACATTATGCCAACTTTTGCATTTATTGTAGACACTATTTTAAGTACTAGAGATTAAATTTTCATCACCAAAACATGAAAATAGCAGCTACTGCCCTAACCGGTTTGGCTCAGTGGATAGAGCGTCAGCCTGTGTACTGAAGGGTCCCAGGTTCGATTCCCGTCAAGGGCACGTATCTTGGTTGCGGGCACATCCCCAGTAGGGAGTGTGCAGGAGGCAGCTGATCGATGTTTCTCTCTCATCGATTGTTCTAACTCTCTATCCCTCTCCTTTCCTCTCTGTAAAAAGTCAATAAAATATATTAAAAAAAGGAAAAGAAAATAGCAGCTACTATTAAGGTAATGAGCTGTGAAAGTCATTCCCCAGCATTGCTTTGAAAATATACCCTGGTTAAGAGAAAATCTGACTTTATTCAAAATTTTTAGCCATCATCTACTGTTGGCTTGATCATCACTTTCTATTTTTAATTTATTTTTATTGATTTCAGAGAGGAAGGGAGAGGGAGAGAGAAACATCAATGATGAGAATCATTGATTGGCTGCCTCCTGCTCACCCCCTACTGGGGACTAAGCCCGCAACCCAGGCATGTGCCCTTGAAGGGAATCAAACCCACGACCCTTCAGTCCGCAGGCCAACGCTTTATCCACTGAGCCAAGCTGGCTAGGCCCTAGCCACTAAGGCGATCATCACTCTTATTTGACCCCATCCAATCAAACACCAGTGTTTCTCAACTCTTCGGCGAAGGGCAATTTTTTCTCCTACTTCTGTGGACACAGGATGAAGTCTAAACGATTTTGCCCCAAATCGGCCTTGACTGCATTAACATCTCCTCCATTCGAAGGGACCCTGTTCACCGTGAGCACTTCATTCTTAGACAACTTTGGCACCGTTGCTGCTTTTTTGTCTCCTTCAGTGCGTACACCTGGGAGCCGTCTAAACAGGAAACAGATTTCTAATTCTGTGAAGGTCCCAGGTGAAGCTACAACTGCACCAAGCACCTGCCCGACCTGTTAGCCCGGCACAAAGTGGGGTCGATTTTTGTTCCAATTCCTGTAAGAGCTTCTGGAGCAGCATACTGAAGATCATTATGTTCTGCAGACAGTGACACAATTTTGGGAAAAAATTGGTTTACGCATGAGTTTTCCTTCACTATCTATGGAAACAATACCAGGTCTGACTTCTATCTCCCGGCCCACCTTTCATACTGCTTTTAGAACACTACCACCAGCTACACCCCCTTCAGGTCATCAACTGTAGAGCCACGTTTGTTGACATCAAAGGAGCTGATAACAATAGTATTTCAAGCTGAGCAGAAATTGGAATAATAGGAGCTCCTTCTACAGCAGTGGTTCTCAACCTTGGCTGCACATTAGAATCACCTGGGAATCTTCTTAAAATTCTCATTTCTGGGCCTCATCCTCGGGAAATCCTGTTTCTTTGTTACTAATGTTGTGGCCCCACCCCATAACAAAGAAACAGAATTTCCAGAGGACGAGGCCCAGAAATCAGGATTTTAAAAAGATTCCCAGGTGATTCTAATGTGCAGCAAAGGTTGAGAACCACTGTTCTACGTTACCATGTACAAACATAAGGATCTGTCCATACTGTTCTTTAGGCAGGCTGTCTTTTACCAAATCAATTTTATTTTGTAGAATCCAAATATGCTTTCGTTTCATGATTTCTATAGCAGCCCGGTGTTCAGAAGTCTGAGGCTGAGGACAAGACTCATGCCCAGCTACCAACAGAAGAGCTACCTCCATCACTGCTGCACGGTTCAGCATTCAAAATATGGTGGCCAAGCCCAGCTCAGCCAGTGTGGCTCAGTGGTTGAGCAGCGACCTATGAACCAGGAGGTCACAGTTCGATTCCTGGTCAGGGCACATGCCTGGGTTGCAGGCTTCATCCCCAGTAGGGGGTGTGCAGAGGCGACAGATTAATGATTCTCTCTCTCCCTCTCCCTTCATCTCTGAAATTAATAAAAATATATTTAAAAAATATATCGAGGCCAGGACATCGACAAAGGAAACATGTCCGGCTAATGTGAAGTTGCCTTTGGTCCCTGGAGTGTCTAGGAAAATCATCAGGTGTATTACATCCATAGGATCTGTCACATTCTGGAGGAGGACAACGGAGTCATCAAGTTTATAAACCTTAGCATTGGTTATCCAAGCTTGACTAAAATATTTCTTCCTAGTCCGTTTTTGAACCCGACAGTGTGAACCCCAGAAACAGCTTTACAACCGGATTTCCCATGAGCTACTTGACCAATTGTATTGATATTAACTGTCGATATTAATTGTGGCTTTTCTGCTGGTAACTTCCTGTGAAAGTGGCATCAATGTGGTAACATCCCAAGCTGCGAGATCCCGGGAAGATGCAGCAGCCGGAGTCCTTCCAGCTCCCCCTCACCACGCACCCCCACCTCTGCCATCCTGCCCAGAGGGCTGAAATTCTGTATTAAGCACCTATCTGCTTCCTTTTATATTATTCTGTTCAATAAGGGCCCTACTCAGGCCAAAAACAGTGTATAGCTGTCCAAACTTCTATATTCACACAACTCAGGATTTTTTTTTTAATTGTTAAGAAAGCATTTGATACTTAGAGCTTATTAGACTACTAGACACTGTAGGAAAGAATCCTCTGCTGTATTTTTTGTTAATGTATCTTTATTGTTGAAAGTATTATAGATGTCCCGATTTCCCCCATTAATCCCCTCTACCCGGCTCCTGCTCACATTTATTTATTTATTTATATTTTTATTGATTTCAGAGAGGATTGGAGAGGGAGAACCATGGAGCCGCTGCCTCCTGCAGGCCCCACACTGGGGATGGAGCCCGCAGCCCGGGCAGGTGCCCCGAGTAGGAATGGAACCGAGACCTCCGGGTTCATAGGTCGAGGCTCACCCACTGAGCCACCGGCTCCTGCCCACTTTCATGTTCTTCCGGCGGTTAGGGCTGGTCCATGGCAGTCACTCCTAACATATACTCAAGACGTGCCGGATGGGACCTAGTGCTCGAGCATGAACTTTGAGTTCTAATCTTGACTCTCTCACTAATTAACCGGGACCGGGACAACCTGCTCAACTTGAGTGAACTAACTGTAGCCTGGAGTCCAGGACGCCATCCCGGGAGAAATAAAGGTAAATGTATGCGAACCCCGCAGCGCAGGCCCCGGCCCGCGCTTGCGGCTCAGCAACCGGCCTTGGCCGGGCTCAGGCCCGGGGCGGCCCCAAGGTCAGTGGTTTCGGAAAGAAAGGCCCGCGGGGCAGTGTGTGCGGGGCGGGGGAGGAGGGGGGGCTGGCCCTACGGCTTCCAGCGCCCAGGACCCGCCTTCCCCGCGGACGCGCTGGGGCGGCGCCAAGGCCGTTCAGGGAAACGCGAGTCTCTCCTCCCGTAAAGCCGTCCGACCCGGGGTGGCCCCGACGCGGCCGCCAGGAAAGGGCGGGGCGCACTCCAGACCCCGCGACCCCGCTCCTCCACCCGGACCCGCGGGGCGGCGCCGGCGCGGGCGGAGCGCGGACCGCACCATCTGACGCGGGGGGGGGCGGGGGCGGCCTTCCCCTGGGCGACAGGGCGGACACCACGACAGGTGCCCCGGCCCCGCGATCTACTGGGGAGGGACTCTGCGGTC